CCTATTGGTCCCTTCTTGCACTCAGCCCCTCCCAGTGCACAGGGTTAGGGAACATAGTTTAATGAAAATCACTGGACTGGACTAAGTCTAAGAATTCTTCTGGCACTTTTGCCTTCCTGTAGTTATATTGGCTCTGCACTGGCCATTAGCCTATATATATCCTGTTCCAGAAACAGTAAGACAGGGCTATTAATCATTTCTATAGTCGGTGGAGAATTTGAAGGGTTGCAGAAACATGGGTTGCTATTAGAGATGAATTTCAATGTCTGTCTCTGCTGAGTGTTTATTAATAATCTTGCTAATCCCCACTCTAGTTCCCGGATCTAACTCCTGTCAGATGTCCTTGGGGACATTTTAAATTCTCCCTGACTTCTTGGAGCCAGATGCTTCCTTCTGCCTGGGTTCCTCTCTGATACTTATATTCATGAATATTTCACATTTAATCTCCCTGATTACATTTCCATGTGATGATCATAGTGCATTGGCTACATCTCTCAGGAAAGACATACAGGAAGCCCACAAAAAAGGCTTGAGTTTGCAGGCACAGTGCCCGAGATCTTTGTTCTTGCCACTCAGGTGGCCTTCCATCATGGACAGTGACTGGGAGATGCTGCCTGGTGGGCTTTGCATGTGGCCTCTTGGTCTAGGGCTTTGCACCCTGGCTCATGACCAAAAGGGACTGGCATTTTCACTCAGGGATCAAATGGCACCAGGACCCGCCCAGTGTCCTGGAGGACCACATGTGGGTCCTTGTGACCAGAGTTGCTCAATAGCTTCCCAGCCCCCAGACAGGCCCCATCCTTCCTGCAATATTATCATTGCTGCCAAGTACCTCCAGTCTGAGAGAAGAAATTGATGAACTTATCTGTACCGGGGAGGAAAAAATTAGCCCCAAATGCCCAAGGGCTTGTGCTTTAAAAGTCAGCCCAGGGAAATGACAGTGAGGCTTAACACTCTCATGGGATGGATGGGGTGGAGGGTTATGGAGAAGATGCATGATTGGAAGGCTATAGATTTAGAAGTCATCAGTGTAAACATGTTAATCCAAGCTGTAGGAGATATCAGGGTTCCCCAGAGAGATAGGAGGAGGACTGAGGTCAGGACTCTGCAGAGGAAGCAAAGGACTGTGGGATGAGATAGAAATGAGTGTCCTGAAGGTCAGTGAAGGAAACTACTTCCAAATGGATGTGGGATGTGTGACATGTGACAAATGCTACAGAAAAAGTAATGTGACTAGGACCTTGTAAAGGTGTCAATGCTTCCCTGGTAGGGTCCCACAGGCACCTTTGAGAAGCCTCCTCAGGTTGCTTTGGGAGTGAGCCCTCCCTGTGGCCTGAAGGGAAAGCCAGAGCCCAAACTGTCAGGTCTCCATGTTTCCTACCGGTAGCCACTGCCAGGATGTTTTGGCTGCAGAGAGGAATGTAAGGGCCACTAGAGCCTGCTTCTCCAAGGCTTAGGGAACAGGTGCTGTCAGTGAGAAGTCTCCCAAAGAGGAGCTGAGCCAGGGAGGCAACGGATAAGGATTGGAAAGGTTTGTGGCCTGGGAAGTTGCTTGAGATGCAGCCACTGCGGCACACAACCTTTCCAGCACAGAGCCTCCTGCCGGGTCCACCTCAACCACAGCTAAGGGTTGGGGGTCAGAGCAGAGGACAGAAGCCCAGGTTCTGCCCTCAGGAACTTGCAAACACAGTCCATGCAGGGCCTTGTGCTCTAGGTGTCTTTAAGGAACACAGATAAGGTCAGGATTTCCTTCCAAATATTCTAGACTTTTCCCTTTCCCGTTGGTGACAAGCATGTTTTCGTTTCCACTGCCTCATTCTAAAGGGAACAAAAGCTACCATAATGAGTATACTAGGTGTACCTGTTAATAATGCGGATTTTTTCAATAGGTGGAGTTACCCATATGTTGATATATATATATGCGATTTGACATGTATGCTATTTTGTTGTATTGACAACAAGCTTCAAAACTTCATATGTCAAATTTTCTGATATTTTTATACCTAAAAATGTCGAATTTCGTGCCAAAAAGCATTTGCAGGAAATTTTAATTCATTATTTTGAAGAAAAGTGCTGCTGAAAGTTATCGTATACTTCGGGAAGCTTATGGTGAACATGCTCCATCTCAAGATACTTGTGAACACTGGTTTAAATGCTTTAGCCCTAACCGGTTTGGCTCAGTGAATAGAGCAGTGATGGCGAACCTTTTGAGCTCGGCATGTCAGCATTTCGGAAAACCCTAACTTAACTCTGGTGCCATGTCACATATAGAAATTTTTTGACATTTGCAACCATAGTAAAACAAAGACTTATATTTCCAATATTTATTTTATATATTTAAATGCCATTTAACAAAGAAAAATCAACCAAAAAAATGAGTTCGCGTGTCACCTCCGACACGCGTGTCAAAGGTTCGCCATCATTGGAATAGAGTGTCGGCCTGCGGACTGAAAGGTCTCAGGTTCGATTCTGCTCAAGGGCATGTACCTTGGTTGTGGGCACATCCCCAATAGAGTGTGTGCAGGAGGCAACTGATCGATGTTTCTCTCTCATCGATGTTTCTAACTCTCTATCCCTCTCCCTTCCTCTCTGTACAAAAAAAAAGTCAATAATATATATTTTTTTAAATAAATAAATGCTTTAAAAGTGATGATTTCTATGTTAAAGACAAAGAATGTCCAGGTCAACCGAAAAAGTTTGAAGACCAACAATTACAAGCATTATTGGATGAAGATGCATATCAAACTCAAAAACAACTTGCAGAAAGATTAAACATTGCTCAGCAAACTATTTCCGATCGTTTACAAGCAATGGGAAAGATTTTAAAGGAAGGAAACGGGTGCCACATCAACTGAACGAAACACAAATGAAAAACCAAAAAGTCATCAGTAAAATGTTGCTTCAACAGCACGAAAGAAAGTCTTTTTTGCATCAAATTGTGACTGGCAACGAAAAGTGGATTTATTTTGAGAATCCCAAATGCACAGAATCATGGGTTGATCCAGGTCATCCATCAACATCGACTGTGAGGCCAAATAGCTTCAGAAAGAAGACAATGCTCTACATTTGGTGGAATCAGGAAGGTGTGGTATTATGAGCTTCTAAAACCAGGAGAAACCGTTAATACTGATCGCTACTGACAACAAATAATCAATTTGAACCACGCTTTGATCATGAAACAACCAGAATGGGCCAGAAGACATGGCAAAGTAATTTTGCTTCATGATGACACACCATCACACACTTCAAAACCAGTTAAAGACACGTTAAAAGATCTTGTCTGGGAAGTATTATACCACCCTCTGTATTCACCAGACCTTGCTCCTTCAAATTACCATTTGGTCCCATCGATGGCACACATATTTTCTGAACAACACTTCAAAACATATGAAGAAATGGAAAATTGGGTCTCTGAATGGTCTGCCTCAAAACAAGAAAAGATCTATTGGGACAGTATTCACAAATTACCTGAAAGATGGGGGAAATGTGTAGCTAGGGGAGGGACATTACTTTGAATAAAGCACTTTTGATGTTTCTCTTGAAATTATCATGTTTTCTTTGATTACAAATTCCACATTTTTAACCGGTAAAGGGTCAATCCGCATTTTTAACCGGTACCTATGATATTAACATCTTCAGAAAATTTGACATATGAAGTTTTGAAGCTTGTTGTCAATACAACAAAATAGCATACATATAAAATCGCATATATATCAATATATGTGTAACTCCAGCTATTGAAAAAATCCGCATTATTAATGGTACACCCGTAGCCACGCAGATCTCTGGGCCTGACACTGTGGGGCCAGTCCTGCAGCATTCTACCTGCCTCTCTGTCTGCTCTCTACATCCCCAGAGACAGAACAGGCACCGCCATGGATCCACCCTGCCGTCCTCAGACTCTGTCGTTCTAGGCCAGTGATGGCGAACCTATGACACGCGTGTCAGAGGTGACACATGAACTCATTTTTTTTGGTTGATTTTTCTTTGTTAAATGGCATTTAAATATATAAAATAAATATCAAAAATATACATCTTTGTTTTACTGTGGTTGCAAACATCAAAAAATTTCTATATGTGACACGGCACCACAGTTAAGTTAGGGTTTTTCAAAGTGCTGGCACGCCAAGCTCGAAAGGTTCACCATCACTGTTCTAGGCAGATACCTTGGATCAATAGGTATCAATAGGTACTAGTATCAATAGGTCATCAGTGTCTCATGGAGAATGTGAATGACCTTCCAACTGACCGAGGCAGGGTTGGCCAGGGCCCTGGATCCTGTAGCAGAGGTTTGTGGTGTTTTCGAGGGAAGAGTGAGGCTAGATTAATGAGCAAGCAGCACAGGACTAACTCACCACCAGCTGATTTGTCAGTGTTTGTCTTCTCACCTACCATACACAGCCAACCTTTTAGGCTTTCGAGAAGACATTCTTTAGGACTCATCTGTAAAGTTCTCGTGAGAACTCTTTTTTGTATGGCCTGGTTGGCCAGTCAGTTCTCTGGGTCCTGTGAAGGGGCCTGTCTAGTGCTAGAGGAAATGGAGGGGGGAGGGGGTGTGAAGGCCTGTCGTATGGAGCAGCTACTCTGACCTTAATGCAGACTTAAACTCACACGAACCTAGAAAGACCTTTCCAAACAAGTACACGGGAAGGGCCCTGGGGAGCAAGCAACTAGTATGGGAGGTTGGAGAAGGAGATCCTGTGGGCCTCAAGAATTGCGGTGGGCCTTCTGCAGGAGGCCAGATGACCCAGGACTGAGAAGATAGGCATCCAGGTGAGTGTAAGTGAGGCCGGGATCCTTGGCTCTTCTACCCAGTTCAGGATCTTCCTCTCAAGGTGGACGGGTCTGCCTCTCCCTCCCTGAATCTCCTGCCTGCTGTCAGGGACGGATGCTCTCAGAGGTCCAGGGGTCAGGTGGGAAGGCCAGCTTCAGGGCTGAGAGCAGCAGCCTCCTGTGTTCACTTCCTTAAACTTCCTGTCTCTCTGCTTTCTCCCTGCCAGGACCCAGCCGCCGCCTCCATCTCAGACGGAGACTGTGATGCCCGGGAGGGTGAGTCAGTAGCCATGAATTACAAACCATCCCCGCTCCAAGTAAAGCTGGGTGAGTGGGTCTGGGGGGTGAGAGAGATGCGGGGAATGGACCAGGTGCTCTGGGCTGGGTCTGCAACATGGTGCCACAAATTAAACCACCTAGGGCCAGATGGTTCCAAGACTCAAGCCACCAAGTCACTGTCACTGCCAGGTACCTTATTTCTTGCAAGGCAAAGAGGGACGTTACAGTGCTCTGCAGGACCCAAAACTCTAGGAGGCGTCTCTGAGGCCAAGATGGCTCCAGTTATTCCAGGGGAGAGCGGCAGGGATAAAGGCGTGGCAGTCCCATTCAACACTGAACCGGGCTGCGAAGCTGCCTTCGAGGTGGGTGGCAGTTGCTATGTCTGAGGGTTAGAAAGAATGAGGATTCCAAAGCCTAGAAGCTGAGCCCCTGCCCCCATTCCATCCTCAGCCCATCTGGACATCTCAGGGCCTAGTGGGCTCCAGTTTCGGGGAGCTTTTTCTTAGTGTTTTTTAGTAAACTCAAATATCTCTCCCCCCTTCCAGGGTCACCTTTCCCTTGGGGTTTTTCTCATGTCCATTCGGAAGTCAGTTGACGCTACAGCCTGCTCTTTGAAGTCACTTGGCTCCCAGCCACTGCCCATAGCTCCAGCAGCTGCTGTTCTCACTTCACCCTAGGCCCAACCCTGCCCCTGTCTCTTCAGGGACCAAGGCTGCTTCATATAATAGGCTTTTATTAAAAATTTGGGCCGAAACCGGTTTGGCTCAGTGGATAGAGCGTCGGCCTGCGGACTGAAGGGTCCCGGGTTCGATTCCGGTCGGGGGCATGTACCTGGGTTGCGGGCACATTCCCAGTGGGAGATGTGCAGGAGGCAGCTGATCGATGTTTCTCTCTCATCGATGTTTCTAACTCTCTATCTCTCTCCCTTCCTCTCTGTAAAAAATCAATAAAAATATATTAAAAAAAATTTTGGTTTGTGAAGAGAAATTACAACACAGTACATCCAGGAGAGTTTACAGTCACATACAGGTGATCACTAGCCTTCAAACTCCTCTGCCATCCCGTCCCCTCAGGCTCCAGCTGCCCACTGAACAGTGGGCCCCTCAGCAGTCCTAAGAGCCTAAACCTTCTCCTGCTGCAGCTGCCAGGACTCCCTTTTCACAGAGTTCTGTTCTTTTATTTTTTTGAAAAAAGGTTGTTGTTTTTTTACCTTGCTTTTCTCCTTCCAGACCATAGCTAGAGAACCCCTCAGGCTGTTTTTCTAAACAAGAGAGCAGCTCTCTCAGTGGAATTTGTTCCTCTTCCAAAGATATCAGACTCAAAGTACAGCGAGTTTTGTATATTATTGTTTAATTTAACAATACAAGTGTCCTAACAAGTATAACTTCTTTTATTCTCCCTATCACATCTTCTCCCAAGATAATCATTCCAAGTTTTTGGTTTTTACTTTTTAAAAAAAAAATATATATATATATATATACTTTTATTGATTTCAGAGAGGAAGGGAGAGGGAAAGAAACATGAATGATGAAAGAGAATCACACCCCCCACTGGGGACGGAATATGCTCTTACTGGAAATCCACCCATGACGTCCTGGTTCATAGGTCAATGCCTAACCACTGAGCCACACCCGTCAGACCGACTTTTACTTTTTGTTGTATTTAACATAAGTGGTAATATACTGTATACATTTTCTGAAACTTCTTTTGTTTTTGTTTCCCACTTAATGTCTTGGAACTTCTTCCAATGCCAGTATATAGAGAATGATTTCATTCTTTTAAGTAGTTGCATAGTAGACTGTAGTTTGGTTTTGCCAGTTTATTCTTTGCATTTTTTCACTTTCAAACATGCTTTTAAAATAACAATTTTTTCCTTTTCCGTTACATTACCACCGAACTCCTCATTAAAATTCAAAACCTTGCCCAGTAGCACTAAGGGGAAAAATCACCACCACCACCTCCAGGAATTTTAAGGCAAATTGCACCCCCTAGAGGCTTGGAGTGGTAATGGTAGCTGCTGCCTGCTGAAAAGAGGCTGGGGGAAAACTGAAGGAGCCAGATGAGCAGTGGCAAAGTAAAGAGGGTCAGCCACCTGGAGATGAGAGAATCAGAGACAGGGCAGTCAGAGGAAATTCCAGAGTCACGGTTGCCGGAAATGCCCACCCATCCTTCCTCTCCGGAGCTGTGGTTATTTTATGAGTACTTTCCTCCAGCATCCCTCTCCACCCAACAGTCCCTTTCCCCACATCTAAGCTCTACTTGAGATGAGTAGGAAGGGTAGACAGGCCTCTTCCAGGGCCTGGCAGATTACTGGTTCCTGGTAACAGTGCCACACACCAGACAGTAGGTCACCTGGTGGCCAGCCCCACGAATCTGGTGGGCTCTGGAGCCTCAGAGAACTCCAGAGGCTAGGAGAGAGTCAGAAGTATAGCCAGAGGGGCTGGGCTCCCCCAGCCTCATGCCCCTGACCCTGCCAGCCCCATTCTGCCTCTCCTACTCCATAACCCTTGGTGGCTCCTTTTCCTCCCACATTAATCCCAAACCCCTCTATCTGGCATTCAAGGTCATGCCCTGAGTTTGTCATCAGAGGGAGTCCCTAGCCCCTTAGCACAGGTCCTGGGATTGGTGACATAGATGTTGTTAATAAACAAATGACTGAATAAATGTATCTTACTTTTTCAACCTGTCCTCCATCTTCACCCTCCATTCCATCCAGATCCACACTTACTATGCTCACTTCTAAATGCATTTCTGTATACACTATCCCTCCTTCCTAGAATGCCCTGCTCTCTCCAATTCAAGATGTCGTCTGTAGGAGGCCCTGATGGCCCCATCCTTCTGCTTCATCTCTCCCTCTCTAACCCTTCTCTGCCATCGAGCACACACTAACTGCTCCACATGGGAGTACAGCTCCTGGAAGACAGGGGTCAGCTTTCCCGTTGCCCCTCACTATCTGTCTCAGGTTGTGCAGGGCCAAGTACTGTCTCCACCGAGCAGCAGAGCCTGGAATTAGGATCCCTCCACAGTTCCTACAGAAGCAAAGAGTTTCCCAATGGAGGCCCAGCCTAGGCTGCCCTGAGCAGTAAGGTAGGGTGGTCCTGGGGGCAGGACACAGCTTCCTTCCCATATTCCCCTGCAGAGAAGCAACGGGAGCTGGCCCGGAAGGGCTCCCTGAAGAATGGAAGTATGGGTAGCCCTGTAATCCAACAACCCAAGAAGAACACTGTCATGGCCCGGACAAGGTAGACACCCCCACACACACCCCACCTGGACCCTGCCAGTCAGCACTGTCCTGATGCTGGTCCTGAGCCTCACCCTCTTCCCTCCTCCCTCAGGCCTCGCCCCTCTCTGAGAGCAGAGAATCTCAACAGAATCCAAGTGGGAGGGAGGGGGGGAAGGGAAGTGGTGGGGTGGGGCCCAACCCAATTCCTCACCAGACTTGTGTGCTCCCATTGCCAATCCAATCCCCCAAATTCTCCACCCAGGCTGGTCGTTCCCAATAAAGGCTACTCCTCGCTTGACCAGAGCCCAGACGAGAAGCCACTGGTAGCCCTTGACACTGACAGGTGTGTACGGGGATGTTGGGGCAGCTGGGCAAGCCACAGGACCCTGTGTGAGCATACAGGTGGACTGTACAGGCCATACCTGTTATAGTGTCAGAATTGAGATATTCCTCAGACAGCCAGGAACTCTCCAAGGATGAAGCCCCAGGGACTGGAATTTTTACCCGGAGGTGGGGAAGAGCAGAGAGAGGACAATGGGACTGGTACAATCTATTGCTATTCTGGGACAACTGATCCAATGGCTGCCCTGAGACTGGGCACTGATTTAATGCTTAATACCTTGCCCCCTGCAAGGGAGCAGCCCTACTGCTGGGAACACACCTGGCTAGACCTGGACTTTGGGAAAACTCAACAAGCCAGGGTGATTTGAGCCTAGATAAAAAGGGGGAGGGGTGGGGGAAAAGGAATAGCATCTCTACTCAGAAAGAGGTTAAGGGTGGCAATTTATTTAGAAAGGTGGGGCTAGGGAACCTGTCTTAAAACTTCATTGGTACAGCAAGCAGTTTTCATTTAGATTGAGCTGTTTATTTGGAAGTGTGGGAGAAGGGTGGGGTATTGACTGGTGGGGGTCAGGGGGTGGTGCAGGGAGTTTTCTATTTAATTTCCAGGAATCACTTCCCTCTGTCTCCTTTTCTCCATGGCCAGCGATGATGACTTTGACATGTCCAGATACTCCTCTTCTGGCTACTCCTCTGCTGAGGTGAGGCCCCACCCTTCCTACCCTGGACACACCCCTCCAAGCAGGGATGGGCCAATGCCAAATCACACCTGAGCGGTGCTATGGGCCAAGCCAGGCAGAGCCGCTGTGGGGGTGGGTCCTAAATGGGGCAGGGCTGTTAGACCCTGGCCTCAACCTAGGGGATCCTGGGATTAGGATGGGACTTGAACCCAGGATTGTCACTTACATAGAATGCAACGTGAAAAACAGATGACACCGTACAGGGATGTGCCTCAAGTAGGAGCAGGGCCCCAATAGAGACAGGACCTGAGATGGGAAGTTACCTGTAGAATGGGGTGGGGTCTGTCATGGGGCAGAGCCTCACAAGGAAGTGCCTGTAAAGAAAGTGAGGCCAGAACTGAATTAGGGGTGAAGCCAGGGGTTTCTGGAGAGACCTGGGATGGGACAGATCTGGGGAAGGCCTGGTGGTTGGTGCCCCTGGATCCCTGGAGCCTGACCTCCCTCCCCTTTGTCTACAGCAGATCAACCAAGATTTGAACATCCAGCTGCTGAAGGATGGCTACCGGTTAGATGAGATCCCCGACGACGAGGACCTGGACCTCATTCCCCCCAAGTCCGTGAACCCCACTTGCATGTGCTGCCAGGCCACGTCCTCCACTGCCTGCCACATTCAGTAGTGGGTAGGGCTGCCGCAGCCAATGGAGCCGGGCCACTGGGGGCCAGGTTAGACAGGGCAGGGGCAGACCCCTCCCCAGCTCTTCTGCCAGCCCCCCGGCCCCGCGTCCCCTACAGCCGCCAACCTCGTAAAAGTCATTGCTTCCTCCTATGGTAGGACGTGTACCTCTGTGTGTTCATGGAGCCGGAGAAACCAAAACCGGGTCTCTCTCTACCCCAGAAACTGAGGAGGGGAAGGGGCTGTTTGTCCAGTTACTTGGGGGACTTTGCCCAGCACCTTTTTGCTCTCCCCAAAGCTACAGTCCAGTGGGAGAGTGGGGGACTGGACAGCAGGGAGGACAACAGTAATGAGTGGGAGGGATCACAAAGCCAGGGGCTTGGCCCCACCCCATGAAGCCATGAACCCCCAGCCCAGTAAGGAAAGGGACTCTGAGGTAGAAAGGCCCAGTGGAGTGGGGGCAAGGTCTAGCACCTTGGAGCCCCTCCAGCAGTCCCTGTTGGCCATGTACCTATTTGCATTTCTCCCCTCATCTCCAGATGGGAAGCCTGGCAAAGTTGCCCAGTGGAATATTGTCCCCCACCTATCGGATCACTGCCTACTTCCTCCTCTTTGCCCCATTCACCCCTCCCTTCCTTCCTTCCTTCCTTCCTTCCTTCCTTCCTTCCTTCCTTCCTTCTTTCCTTATTCTCTGAGTTGAGGGTAAGAGGCCTTAGAGACAGGCCAGAGTTTGGGATGGTTGGGATGGTATGATCTGTCCTCGCCTGCCCCTAACCAATGTATCTCTCTGCCAACCCCCTCTCCACCCCCCCCCACATACACACACACACACACACACACACACACACACACACACATACACACGCACTCACACACACAAACGCTTCTGTTCATTGGTCTCTGTCCCAGGTTAGAAGCAGGAGGTAACACTAGCCTCGAATGCCCCATTCCCATCTCACTCCAGCCCAATATTTCAAATCCTTCTTCCCAGTAAGAACCTTCAAGGGAGCAAGCTTAGGAGAATGCTATGGCTGCCTGTGTATGGCAGGGAGCGCTTGATAGGATGCGTGTGTGCCTGCGGCTGTCAGGGTGTGCGTCTGTCTCTGTGTGGGCCTGTCTTTTTAGATGTCTGCTTCTGTCCTAGATAGTGAGGAAGTGACTGTGTGGTCTGTTAACAGTGTGAGAGGCTGTTCAGCAGTGCAGTGGACTGAGAGCCCTGGACTGGGACTCAGAGCCTGGTTCTAGCCCCAGCTCTGGCTCTGTCCCGGTGGTCTTCAACAAGCCGCTGCATTCCCTGGGCTTCAACTGTCAAATGAGCAGCGTCTGAACGTTCTGAAGAAATTTTGTCAGAGGAATTTCTGTGGAGGGGTATGGGGAGGTCTGTGTGTCTTTGAGTACACCTAGGAGGCTTCCTGAGTTGTATGTCTGTGTGAAAAGGAGAAGGGGGCGTTCCTATGGGACCTGTGTATGTTTGAGTGCATGCAGATCTATTTGGGAATACATGTGTATGTGTCTATGAATGTGTATGTGTGTGAGTATATATTGTGTATGTGGGTATATGTGGTGTCTGTGAGTCAGAATGTGTGTACTGCTGTCTTTGCTGCAGTTGCTGGGGTGGGGAAGATGCCAGAGAAGCTGATGATGAAAGTCAAGGTCCTCCCCTGGGACTGGGCAATATAGACCTGCCCCATGTAAAGAAAAATGAAAGCACAGTTAGCCTAAGACTGCTCTTGTCTATGCCCCACAAACCCCATATCCCAGGGCCAGGGTGTATACCCTCCATTCTTCCATGCTGCCACCTCACAGCCCATTCCCTGGGAGGTGGAGCTGGAAGCGGGAGAGGGTAATGAGAGAATAAGGCTGCTACTTAGGAAGGGTAGCAGCTCTCCCTGTACTACACCCAGGGGTCGCCAGCTCCAAAGTACTAAGATGAAGCTCTCCAACCCCTAACCCAGCCCTACCTCCTCTGGTACAGGAACCCTGGTTAGATGATGAGAAAATGCCAAAGGGATACAAGGACAGAGACGGTATCTGCAGGGCCCACAAGGCCCATACCAGCCCCCAACTGTGCCCATCTCTCCCACCAAGGTCAGATCCCTACACCCTGCCATCTGGGCCCCAGAGCCAAGCCTCCTACTACTATCACCACCACCCTGGGTTTCTTGACTCACTCTTCGAGAACATGGGTACTTCCTCTTTTCCAAGTAGGGCCCCACCAGGGCTCATTTAGACTGCTACCTTTGCTGCTGATTTGCTGTGTGACTACAGCCCACTGCTGAACCCCTCTGTCCCTGAGGAACCAGGGAACACTCCCTCCACGCAGGACATACCTAGTTCCCTGGCAGGCAAGGAGTTCCAACTGAAGCCGTGTACAAGTGGTGGGGAGAGGTAGGAGGCTGGCAGCCAGCACCTCTGGGCCTAGGAAGTGTGTGGTTCCCTCCTCCCCTGTCTGGGAGGATGGAGGGGAGGAATTGAGGCCTTAGCTTGCCCCCTGTCATTCTTCCCCCTTGTAGATACTGCCTTAACACTCCCTCAACCCTCAGCTCTGGCTGCCACCCAGCCAGGTTTCTCCGTGCTCACTAATTTATTTCCAGGAAGGTGTGTGGAAGACATGAGCCGTGTATAATATTTTTTTTAACATTTCCATCGCAGTATTGACCATCATCCTTGATTGTGTATCGTGTAACACAAATAATGATATTAAAGGCATCAAACAAGTCAGCCTCAGCTCCCTACCTGGGGTGTGGGCCAGGGCCAGGTGGGCTGGAAAGGGGAGAAAACGGATCCTCTGAATGCACATTTCACTCTACCTCCACTCATGGGTTCCCAAGCCAAGCCTGCCACTGACCTGCTGCATCACCCTGGTGAGTCACTTGACCCCTTGGAACCTCCACTTAACTTCATCAAAGTGAGAAGGTTGGCCTCGAAGATCTCCAGGGACCCTCTGAACTCTTGGAAATTGGGTTCTTTTGAGAGACTTGAGGGAAGAAAAGGCTGGAGCAGGAAGAGAATTGGACCTCCTCACTTCCTCAGGGCTGGGACTAAGCCAAGTGATATCATAATGGGCAGTGCCCATCCTGGAGGGGGTAGCAGGGTGGGGTAGGAGCAGGAAAGCTGTGAGAGAGGGAAGTTGAGAGTTCCTCCATAGAAGGGAATCACAGCAGCTAAGGGCACCTGCCGGGCTGGAGGTGTGGGCAATCTGGAAGCGGGGGGGAATCACTGATGGTTTGCAGGAACCCTTGGTAGGTAGAGCCCACCTGGGCATTCCCTAGACCCCACTATGTTCCTCTTCTCCCGAAAGACCAGGACCCCCATCAGCACCTACACTGACTCCTACAGGGCTCCTAACTCCATCAAGAAGGTCTATAACGACCCACCTCTGTGGGCCTGGGAACCCAACAAGTTTGTGAGCCGGGTAAGTAGAGGTTGGGGTGGGGGACAGGGGCAGGCTAATGCGTATGGCCATGCATGTCTGGATGGACTGGCAGTGTGCGGTTATAGTTACTTTTGTAATTATTTGTAGCTTTGCATGTGTGTTTTTTATTCTTTTGCCTAGATGTGGAATTTATAATGATATATAAAATAATGCAAGATCCTGCTTTCATAGTGCTCTGCTACACCAAGTTAGGAGATGTAAGGAGTTAGATAAGTCAAGGAATAAACAAGACTTTTATAAATTATCCAAAATGCTATAAAGGAAGTAAACAGGGTAGTGGAAATTGAAAGTAACCAGAGAGAGTTACTCAAATAGAGGTCATAGAAGACCTAGATGAGAGCCAGGTGAAGAGCTAAAAGAATAGGGTTCCCGGCAGAATGATCAGAACGTGCAAAGGTCCTGAGACTGCCTGAGGGATATGCCAGAAAATGTCCAATAGTCATGTTTTTGTGCATGCATATCAGGCTCCTTGTATCTGTCTTTGCCACTTTGCACAAAATGGAGAGATCTGTGAGTCTAATGGTGACTGTCTAAGGCAGCAGTTCTCAACCTGTGGGTCGCAACCCCTTTGGCGGTCGAACGACCCTTTCACAGGGGTCGCCTAAACCATCCTTCATATCAGATATTTACGTTACGATTCATAACAGTAGCAACATTACAGTTATGAAGTCGCAACGAAAATAATTTTATGGTTTGGTCACAACATGAGGAACTCTACTTAAAGGGCCAGAAGGGTGAGAACCACTGCTCTAAGGGAAATTAGCTGTATGCACCATCCAACAAACTTTGTTGGGGATCTACATGTGCCAGGCTGTCTTTCAGGAGCTCTCAGCAAACAAGTGAATAAAGTAGGGCTGTGCTGTGTGGAACATGCCCCAGCAAAGGCATGTTCCAAGAGCTGCCAATGGGCAATGGTCCAAGAGCTGGAAAGAGGAGAGCACTCCTGGGACTTTAGGGCAGGTCTATTAAGAGATTCAGGGGGAGGAGGCTTCCACAGATCAACCTGGGGGCAGGGGCCCACCAGGGACTGAGAACTACTAGTGCAAGGGAGAGGAGCCTGCAGACCATGAAGAGCCTCAGGCTGTGGTAAGAAATAAGAACATAATGCTCCAGGTTTTTTAATCTGTGAGTGTCATGATTAGATTGTGAGTTATGCCACTCTGGCTACAGTGGCAGGAGATTGAAGGGGTTGGGGCTGAGGGCAGGAAGCAGAGTGAGATGGCAGAAGATGAGGGAGGAGGATGTATGTGGGAGATAAGGATAGACTGTGGCAGAGAAAAGGGGAATTTGTTGCTTAATGCAGAAAATGGGGATAACTCAAAGAGGCACAAAGAAAAAAAGGCTTATAATCTCACAACCCCAAATAACCACTGTTAATTTATTATTATATGCCCATTTAGGAAGCAAATATATTTTATGAAAATTGTATCATGTTGTATACTAATATTTTGAATCTTGCTTTTTTTGTATAGCCATATGGCAGGTCATTTTCCTTGTGAAACATATTTTATAATTTTAATGACTCTATACTATTTTATTTTATGAATGTACCAAGATACTAGTATATTTAAGAAATCATATGTTATTGGAAGTTTAGATTATTTATAAAATTTTGCTAATATTATTCTTGTATATATCTATCTTTTTATGCATCAACTGTTCCCTAAAGATAAATTCCTAGACATGAAATTGTTAGGAGAAAGGACATGCACATTTTAAAAATGTTTTATATACACTTCAAATTTCTGTAATAAGGTTTGTAATAATTTACATGCTGACCAGAAAAATATGAGCGCGCCTGCCTGCTTTTCCACACTGAATAGAAAAAAATTTTAAAAAATAGATCAACATGTCTTGGTCACCATCAGTATATAAAGAAGAGGGGAGAGATTAGGATGATTCCTGGATTGGGAGCTCTGGCAACTGGAGGAATGGACAGTGCTACAAATTGAGATTTGGAATCATAGAGAGAGATTTGGAATGGATTTGGGGGCAAAAATATTCAAGGACTTTCAGGAAAATATGTCTGGTGGATAGTTGGATATACTTAGCTCTGAAGCAAAGGAAAGAGGTTTGGGCTACATATATATATTTTTAAATCATCAATATATCAGTCGTAGCTGAAGTCATAGGAGTGAATAGGATTGTGAAGGAAGAATAAGAAAATGACCAAACCCAGAACTGTGGAGAATATCAATATTTAAAGGGTAGCTAGAGGAAGGAGAGCTATAAAAGGAGACAGAGTGATAGGAAGGAAGTCAGAGAAGCCAACCAAGATAGCATTGTTAGACAAAGGTCGGTATCAAATGTCGACACAGAAAGGAATCTCTTGGATGTAGTAACCCTTAGTAACCTGGCCCGATCTTCAGTGAGTAGCAGTGGGATTAAGAATGAAAGCCCGCCAGCGAGGCTCAGTGGTTGAGTGCCTCGGTTCCACTCCCGGTCAGGGCACATGCTTGGGTTGTGGGCTCGATCCGACCAATGATTATCTCTCATTATTGATGTTTCTCTCTCCCTTCCTCTCTGAAATCAACAAAAACATATTTTTCTAAAACGGAATGAAGGAAAGGCTTTTGCTTCTGGCAGTACAGTGTGGTCTAGAAAAATCGGAAAACCCTTCTGCTTCAAAATAGCTAGGTCCTGCATAGAATTTTTTATTTTGTTGTGTACTCTCATGGAGGTGAGTGGTAAGTATACTTAGAAGACAGGGTTGTCCTGAAGACAAATGTCAGCACTACAAGCAGGAGTTTAAGTCTTCAGCTAGCTAAAAGGCGGAGGAACTAAACCTGCAAATTCCAAACTGAACCAGAAAGTTCAGTGATCTCTAGCTCCCTGCCCCCAACACACACACACACACACACACACACACACACACACACGATTAATGTATGTATCCCTTCTATGGTGAAAAATATTCTCAATGTATGTTTCCAGGTATCCTTTAGAATAAGGCCAATCAAATCTGAGCTCACAAGAAGAGCTATAAGGAAACAAACCACCATGTGACAGTCAGCAGAAACAGCCAACTTAAACCTCCAAGGACTTCAGATATTGAAATTAATAGTTAATGGCTACAAAATAATTATGAATTTTTAAAATAAAATGTGAAATTATTAAAATGAGCAAACAATAGGAGATTGTATTTTTAAAATATCAGACAAATGTAAGAAAAGAACTGACTAGGAATTTTAGAAATGAAAACCATATGTGTTAAAACCAAATATTCATATTGGGATACTGGATGGGTTAAAGAACAGATTAGACACAGCTTAAAAGCCTCAGTGGAATGAAAGAGAGAATGAAAGAAATTTTCCAGAATGCAGCACAGAGAGACAAAGAGATAGGATATATGAAAGAAACATTAAGCAGTATGAAAGATAGGAGAAAATTCACACACATCTACTTGGTGTCCTTTAAAAAAAAAAAAAAAAGCAGAAAGAATAAGCATTATCTGAAGAGGGAAAAGCTCTGAACTTTCCAGAACTAATGAAAGAAATGAATCCACAGCCACAGAATAAATAGAAGGAATTCCACATTTAGATGCCTCGCAGGCTTGGGTGACATTGCAAATCTGTGGGAGAAGATAGATACTTAATGGGACAATTGGTTATCCATATAGTTAAAAATAAAATTGATCCCTAAATCACACCAAACCCCAAAAGCAATACCTCACAGATTAAAGACTTAAAGAAATAAACTGTGGCTTATATTAGAGGAAAATATAAGACATTGTCTCCATTAACTTAGAGTGTGGATGGATTTCTTAAACAAATCACAAAAGCACTACATAAGAGGTTAATAAATTCAACCATGTTAATATTAAGAACTTTTATTCATCAAAAGATACCACAGCCCTGACCGGTTTGGCTCAGTGGATAGAGCATCGGCCTGTGGACTCAAGGGTCCCGGGTTCGATTCCAGTCAAGGGCATGTACCTTGGTTGCAGGCACATCCCCAGTGGGGGGTATGCAGGAGGCAGCTGATCGATGTTTCTCTCTCATCGATGTTTCTAACTCCCTATCCCTCTCCCTTCCTGTCTGTAAAAAATCAATAAAATATATTAAAAAAAAAAAAAAAAGATACCACAGAGAAAATGAAGATACAAGAAGCCAAAAACTGAGAGAAGATATTTGCAACATGTGACTGACAGGGAATTAGTATATAGAATAGATAAAGAATCATAGTTTTCCGAGTTAAAATTAAACACAGTCTGAAGAAAGAGAACAGGAGCTTCCGACTCTGTCCTTAAGAACCACCCAGTCAAAAAAAAGGACAGAAATGAAAA